TCTCCATTACTCTGAAATAGTGATAGAAAAATTGACAATTGCTAAAAAGATCTTAAAACTAGCTATAAATATATTATTTTCATAATTGACCTAGAAAATTTTGATCTCAGCAGTGAGCTTTCTGTTCATATGACAGATCTACTGTTTCTACTTCAAGATCATAGCATTTCCAAAAATTCCAGTATATCTCTTATCGGTATAATATGGAACAGAAAATATTCAGATTGGCAATAATAAAGAATTCTTAACATCTATCCATCTCTTGATCACCTGGCAATGTGTGATGGGTGTTTTAGTTTTGAGTAGGAAAAGTATTGGAGCAAATCCAATAGTATGGATTGTTTTCGTTCAAGTAGTTATGAAGTTTGGAATCAGCACACTGTAGGAAGAAAAATCCAGTCTGGTTCCAAGCTGGGAGAAGGTCACTGGAAATAACATGGAGTCTGGCTACAAGGAAAGGAGGTCTCTGTCTATTTCCAGAAACTTCTGGAACATGCTGACAGCAGCATGTTTCTGGGGTGACTGACAAAATAGCTGAGTGAGTAGATGGATTTTTATAGGGTTCTGGGGTTTGTTGATTGAGATGCTCCAGGGGGTTGTGCAATGTAGTGAGCTATTCTAATAAAGGTAAAGGTTCCCCTCACACATATGTGCTAGTCATTCCTGACTCTAGGGTGTTCATCTCTGTTTCAAAGCCGAAGTGCCAGCACTGTCTGAAGACATCTCTGTGGTCATTTGGCTGGCATAACTAAATGCTGATGGTGTACAGAATGCTGTTACCTTCCCACCAAAGTGGTCCCTATTTTTCTGCTTGCATTTTACATGCTTTTGAACTGCTAGGTTGGCGGAAGCTGGGATAAGTAACGGAAGCTCACTCCGTTATGTGGCGCTAGGGATTCGAACTGCCAAAATGCCAACCTTTCTGATCAACAAGCTCAGTGTCTTAGCCACTGAGCCACTGCATCCCTGTGCTATTCTAATAGTGGTGGGTAAATCCTATTATGTCCTAAAGATCATGTCCTGTCCTTAGAATTTGGATGGGGGAATGTAAATTCTTAATCCCATGAGCTCCAGCCTTCTGTGGGAACTTGTGTCTGAAGGCATTTTGTTTATGAATAGATTGGCCCAGTCTTTCTGAATGGATACAAAATCTCCATTCCAAATGACCAGTTTCTTCTCCTTGAGGCTGTTTTCCTATGACAGGAAAACTGGGGCTGCCTTCTGTCTTTGTTAAGATTTTTCTCCATTTCTCCTTTCGGGAAATATAATATTCTGCTTCTTTTAATATTCCCCAAAATATTTCATTCTCTGGTGGGTGGGGGTTAGGGTTAGGTTCCACAACAGCATAGGCATCAGTAGGCACTGATTTCATTGTATTTAAGTACAATGACAATAAAGATTATACTTATACTTATTATGACCACTCTCTATTCTATTCTATTCTATTCTATTCTGTTCTATTCCATTCCATTCTCCGATGTTAACCAAATAAGGATGCAACCAAATAAGCATGCACTATATACTCTTTCTATAATGTCATAGAGAGGAAAAATGGTCTTTCAAAAGTTTCAAAACAATTGTTTGAAAGTTTTTCAAACAATTGTCTTAATCATGGTAGTTGGCAATCACCATGCTTCTTGTAACCTTTTCAAACTGTTTTTTTTTTAAAAATTTGACAGGCATATGATATACTTGAAAATGTAGAGGCTTCCCTTAAGCTTTTTGAATCTAAAGTTTTCAGCTTGCCCATTTCGGCAATAAAACATGAGGAACTACAAAAAGAAATTAAAAATGGATCAGACAATGCTCTTCAGAAGGGACAAGCTTTACTTAGCAAACAAGATGCTCACAGGTAAGTATAATATGTAACTGGAGAGCTGCACATACATTATTAAATGTATAGGTGTGAGAATCCCTATTGGGAAATTATGTTTCCTCCAATGGTTAAATAGTGTTGAAATGAAGTCTTAAAATACAGAAATTCAAATCTGGGCTTCTAAGTTCATAAATAGGGTCATTTTTATGGAAACAGTTCCCTGTTGTGTTCAATTTGGGTGTAGTCTTCTTGCTTAGGTTGGGGCTTCTCACTTCATTCAGATTGCCTAGAGTTGCCTCTAGACCCATGATGGCAAACCTATAGCACACGTGTCACATGTGGAGCCATCTTTTCAGGCACGCGAGCTGTCGCCCAGATTAGCTCCTTTACACATGCGCCCACGCGTCCCACCGGCCAGCTGATTTTTTAGTCTCTGCTGAGAGATGCATGTGTATGCATGGGGTGGGGGGTTCTCGCGTATGCATGCACAGGGGTGGGGAGATGCGCCCCCTGCACCCCGTTTTTGGTCCCAGGAGGCTTCAGGGAGGCCTGCTAGTACCAAAACAGGGGTCTTGCACGCATGTGCAGGGGGTAGATGGGTGCAGGGGAGGGTCACACATGCATGATAGGGTCTTTGGGGGGCATTGTATTATGGGTGTCGGTACGCACACTTTCAGCACCCAAGGCAAAAAAGATTCTCCATCACTGCTGTAGACTCTTTACTTTTTTTCTAGTATGTAATTGCCCTCATCCAAATCAAATCAAATCAAACCTTTATTGTCGAAGCACCACATATGTACAATGAGATTGAATGAGCCTCCCTTGGTGTAGCCCCCCCTTACCAAAAAAATCCATTTATGATACTAGGATTCCAAGTGATTCTACAGACTTTTGTTGGGCGTCTCTCAAAGGCCATCCAGCTGATTTCTTTTCTAGATTTTCTCAAGCCAGGGCAAGTAATGGTGATGACTCCAAGCCTTGTTATGATCAGTAGAAGTAGTACCTTTGTTTCTGTGTTATAAACATTGTTATGACAAGCAATATGTGAGCCAGCATAAATGGCTGTAAATTGTTATATAACATGGATGCTGCTATAAATAAGAATAAGCAAACAAGCAAGCAAACACGATATAAGCAAAAGCAGTGACATCTATATGTGGACACCTATGGCTAACCTGCAAGCCCATTTCTGCTTGCCCACATAAGCTTAGAAGAAAGAGAACTCCAGTGGACAAAGAAGGAAAACTTTGATCTTGTTCATCTCCCAGTATCATTATAGTAAATGGAAATTGTCCTGATAGAAAATAGGATTGTTTTAAATAAAAGTTCTATTAAGTCCTACATCGGTACAATGGAAATAAAGGAACAGCTGGTTTTCAATGACATTTAGTTAAGGTACTTATGGTTATTCTGTTCTGTATTAAGGAAAGAAAATTCTGCCCATTACCAGAATATTTCCACCAATCATCATTGAGGGGGCGGCGGGGTGACATTGAACGGGGGCTTTCAGAGCTAATAAAATTCCAACTGAGAATGCAATTCTTTTTAGGCACTCAAATGATTTTCATGGTCACTATTAATATTTTAATGGAGTTTGTGTTGCTATTTAATTTCACAATGCTTTGCCAGAGAAAATTTCTGTTATAAATTAACTGAAGGCAACAATTTGTTCCTTAAGCACAATTTTCTTATCCTAATTGTATGTGATAAGCAGTTTGAAGAGAACTATCTCCCGTCTTTGCGTTATTATAAATCAGCACCCTGGAGCTCAAACATTTAGCAGGTTTGTTGGTTCTTTGCCACATGACTGTGTACTAATTTTTGTTTAAAACAACCTTTTTAGAATATGTGCTAGTCTTAAAACTCACAGGGAGAATATTCATTGTGAATTGTCTGTAAAAAAAAGAAAAGAAAAGTAAACTCTTTACAGCTAAAATTTGGATCTGGAATAGAAGCAGTTATGTATTTTTTTAAAATTGCATTTTAACTTAGCATCTAATTTTGATAAAAGCATCTAAATGGTGTTCTATATTAAAATACGATACTTAATGTTCTCAGAGTGTTAGGCAATGCTAATGTATGTAGGTAGTCCTTGAGTTATAAGTGGTCAATAGGGACTGTTCAAAGTTATAATGGAGCCCTCAAAACAACCTGATTTTAAAGTTACATGACTGTACCCACCTGATTACATGTCACCATTTTGGGCACTTGGCAACAAGCTGAACTCTACAGCCCAATGGTGGGATTCACATTCTTTTACTACTGGTTCTGTGGGTGTGGCTTGGTGGGCGTGGCAGGGGAAGGATACTGCAAAATCCCCATTCCTCCCCCCCCAACCTGCTTTCCAGCTCCGTTCTCCTGTTCAGGGCAACAAAAGAAGGCTGGGAGGCAGCGAGGGTGGGGCCAGCCTATTTTCCAGTTCTCCAAACTACTCACAATTTCCATTACTGTTTCTCCAGAACCTGTCAGAACTGGCTGAATACCACCTCTGCTACAGCCATTTGCAACATCCCGGGGTCACGTGACAACAATTTTTGATTTTTTGTTTTGCCAGTTTCTGGTATTTAATTCAGATTTCCATTGTTTTAAAAAATGCCCTTTGGGTAAAACGGATTTACTTCATGACCACCATATTTAGGTTATGTTTGCACAAGAACCACTGCCCAAAAAATTGCTGAAAAATCAGGTCTGATGAATTCTGGGGTCCATTACAGATATAACTTGAGGTCCACCTGTGGTAAAGATGGGAAATAAGAATTGGAATAAAACGGTATATCTTAAGCTCTCTTGATTTCATTATTACTGGGCTTTTTGAAAATAGAGCAACTATAGAGCAAATAATTATGATATAAAGCAGTGGTTCCCAAACTTGGCAACTTTAAGACTTGTGGACTTCAACTCCCAGAGTTCTCCAGCCAGAAGAGCTAGCTGGAGAATTCTGGGAGTTGAAGTCCACAAGTCTTAAAGTTGCCAAGTTTGGGAACCACTGATATAAAGCATNATATTTCAGTTTTATTCTTTTCAAGTGATTTCTGTGTATTTTCTTGTGACTATTTATGTTACCTTTTGACGGATGGGATGTGCGGATATTATTCTTATCTATGATTACTTTGCTGTGAATCAAGTAACTTGAATCTAAATTACCATTGGCAGATAATTAACTGAGTCACACTTCTCTTCCCAGGAATGGAATTCTGCTATGCAAGGATTAAAATCAGAAGCACTCAGAATTCTGCTTTCAGAGGAGTATGCAGAAAAAGAGCATCTAAAGCTTTCGAATAAAAAAATGAACTTACTGGAACAAGAAGTAAATCGCTGTTTTGAAGAACGGAAAGCATTGTTGCAAGAAGCCAATGACTTCTTCAATGCAGCAAGGAAGGTTAGTCAAAACTTAAAATTCCTGACAGAAACCCACTGTAAAGCCAAACAAAAAAAAAAGGCTTACTCTCCCTTAGATTTGTAGCTCTATTGATAAACAGATGAAGTGGGGAGGGCAGAATCTGCCACCAACCTGAAGATTTTGTCTCACTTTCTGGCAGCAATGTTTCTTTTGGTGTCCTTCTCAATTTTATTAAGGAGATTATAGAGCCCTTCCACATTGCTATGGTTTATACACACAGTTCCTTTAAAAACAGTTTGAAATCAACCTCTGGAATACCCAAAATATCTTGAATCAGTCAGTGCACTTTCTCCTGATGAGTGCTTTCTCCTGCTTTCTCAGAGGCTGCAAAAAATAACAGTAGCACCTGATTCCAATTCCCATTTTTAAATTTCTGTTTGTGTACATTTCCCCCTGGGGATTACTAAGAAAACTGAAAGTGGATTCTCAGCTGGGCGTGCAGAAGCTGGGTTTATCCAAGGAGATGGTCTGATAGAGTTATCACCTAGGAAAAACCAGACTATCCCAAAGCTCTCTAGACTACCAGTGCAGTAGAAGTACTAGGTACTTACTAGGTAAGTGGAGTTCCATCACTGTTCAACAGACATTATTCAGCTCAGTAAAGGTGACGGGGTGGAAGTACACAAGTATGGTCAACTTTAAATGATAGAGATATGCAGAGAGAGGCAAAGCAAGGAATGCTGTTGCTTTGCTGTCAATCATATTAGGAAAACCAGGAGAGGGGCATTGGACTTGGTTGATAATTGAAGTTGCCATCTTCCAAACCACTTGGAAGAAGCCATGAATGATGACCCCAGGGAGCTTTGTAAAACATTATGTACCTCACAAAAAAATAGTGGTAAGTCAGATGAAAACAATTAATGATAGGTAATTCCAAACTCTTATTATTTCTACACAAACATGGTTAGATGTGTTGGGTCTGTGTGAAATGGAAGGTATACCATGCAAGATTTTATGTAAGCAAGCATGGAAGTGCATTCATGGAAACCGAACATGTAGGGTAGGCAGAATGGTGAGCTACTGATAGAGCTCTAGTTTAGATGTTTTATAGTAAGGATCCTGGACTCCTGGTAGAAATAAAATGTCTTCTTATCTACCTAAAATAATTTTGACAAAATGAAAAAAAAATGTGGCTGGTCCATTTCTGGGGCTCAAGAAAAATCATACCACTCAAAACTCTTATTTTAGGCATGCACCTCCTACACAAGGCTCTAAAAAGAGAAAGTTTGTCAGTGGCCTAAAATTTCAAAAGGGTAGAAAATTATTTCGGGTGAATTTCAAGATTAAATGTTTACATCTAAAGCTGTACTTTTAGAGTATTTTCTCCACTTTGATAAATTATGTAGTTTTTTTTATCTTCACCAAAATAATCTAGAAATTGAAATGTAGTAGGGAACTATATAAGTAAGAAGGCTTTTTTTCAACAGAGTTATATAGCTGTGTCTACAAGATTTGATTTTCTGTGTCAGGAGTGTCAAACGCACATCATCATGGTGGCGTCATGTGACCTATCAGGACTTTCCCCCCCTTCGCTAAACCAAGTGTGGGCGTGGCCAGCGTGGGATGCACCACGCTGTGGGCCGGGAGTTTGACAGCCCTGTTCTATGTGAATCTCAGTGTTAATGCTGTAGTTATTTTTAATGTTTATATTCTGCTTCCATTTCAGAGAGAGAGTTACTCAATGCTATTTTTCTTTATATTTTCTTGTAAAATATATAAAACGTATGTATAAATATATAAAATGTGAAAAAAATAGAGGGAAGTACTCTCTCATTACTTTACTGTGGATAATTTATATTTTTAGCATCAGAATAGGTAGTTAGCCATTCCTTAAAATTGTTTTTTATATTAAAAAAAAACATGTTCTGAGAGCCTCATTAGAATTATAAAATGTTCCAAAACCATTAGATCTTTTCAAAGATGATGTGGTGAAGAGCCCAAATTAGTTTTTTGTTTGTTTGTTCTGTGCTACTCAGCTATGATTGGTGCTCTAAAAGTTTATAATTAATCCCTTAAAAATGTCAATGTATTAGGGATATACAGGAGGTATTTATGGTAGCCTCTTTTGGTTGTGGCAGCTGTACTTTCCAGATGGTAAGGACAAAAAGAGATGGAATAGATTCAAGAACAATTCCAAGAAAGAAAAACGATTTCGCTTATAAGAACTTCTGATGCCATATAGCTGGTGCTGTAAGTCCAGGTTTTGATGCTCCAATGTTAGAAGGAGTGGTTGAAGAAAAGGCATGGCAATATGCAGATGGATTATGGAGCTAACTGATGATTAAGATGTCAAGCCACAAAAGCAGCTCATGTTTAATATGCCCTTTCCAGAAGCCCAAAGGATCAAACAGATGGAAGGGTCTCATCTTCCACTTACCAGTAAGAATTTGTAATAATCGGGATTTGCTTGGGAATTTTAGTTCCACTAGGCTCCATCTGCTGGTTCATTGTTCACCAGCCAAGGTGGCGCAGTGGTTAAATGCAGCACTGCAGGCTACTGCTAGATCAGCAGGTCAGC